TCCGCGACGCCCGGCCAGGCCCCCGCCACGTCATCGCCGCGCGACTGTTTTTCCCCCCGCGGGCGGGGCGGGGCGGAGTCGGGCCGGGCCGGGGCGGGCCGGGCCGGAGCGGGCCGGGGCGGGAGCGGGGCGGGAGCGGGGCGGGAGCGGGGCGGGGCCCGCGGGAGCGCCGAGACTGCGCGCTGCCAGCCAGGCCGGGGCGTTGGCGGGGCCTCGGGGGACGCGCCGTTGTCCTGGCGACGCCCGCGGAAAGGCGGGGCCGCGCCTGCGCAGAGGGGCGGGTGACGTCAGTAGGGAGCGCCGGCAAGTGGCGCTAGCTCCCGGGGCGGGGCCGCGGAGGGCCTGGGATCCCCGCGCCCCCCGCTGCCGTATGGTTGGGCTGTGCGGGCTCCGCGGGGGCGGCCGGTGGGGCTGCTAACGCTGCTCCGTGGGTCGGGGCGGGAGGAGCAGCCGCCGAGAGCGGGAGAGCCTCGGTGTGTCGGCGGAAACGGGCGAACGCAGGCTCGCAGCCTGGTCCTGGGGCCGCGAGCCCGGAGGGAGGGGGCGTGGTGGGCGGCGGAGCAGCCCTGCGGCGCCCCGAGGTCGCGTCGGGAAGCGGCGCTGCCGCGTGGACCGACCTCACACGACCCGCGAGCCGCGGAGGGCGAGCCCGGGAGGCTTGCGGAGAAGGCACGGTGGGGCCGGACGCTCAGCAGCCGAACCTAGAGGGCGCGCGGGAGCCGGCGGCGGGGGGGGGGGGGGGGCGGGGCGGCGGCAGGTGCCGAGGAAAGAGGAAGCTGGCCGGGGAGGGGCCGCCTGCGGAAGGAAGAGCTACCGCAGGAGCAGGAAAAGCGTGGACCACAGCGGTGATACCGCAGCACCGACCTTAGGGTTATTTTTTTAAGATTTTATTTATTTATGAATGACAGAGAGGCAGAGACCCAGGCAGAGGGAGGAGCAGGCTCCCTGCACGGAGCCCGACGCGGGACTCGATCCCGGAACCCGGGGTCACGCCCTGGGCCAAAGGCAGGTGCTCCACCGCTGAGCCCACCCCCCCCCCCCGGGGATCCCCCGACCGGGGATGAAACGCGTGCCAGCAACGAGGCCAGGTGTTCACAGGCGCCGTGTCTGCAGGGGGGACAGCCCCAGGCGCTCCGCAGACAGCGACAGCGGTGGACACTCTGGAGCCTCATGGGGGGCGCGTGCCAGGCTGAGAAGAAGCGGGTGGAACCGCAGCCGGGCGTCCCTCCCAGCCCAGAGGCCTTTGAGGAGTGGAATCTATCTGGAACCATCTTTGCTTCCTGCACCCTTTCTGGTCCCTCTGCAGGCACCACCCGGCCTGTCCATGCTCTGTCCCACCCCCTTCCCTCCTCACCCACAGTCAGCCTAGGCACCCTAGGAGGGAGGCTGCATGGACTTGCCCAGGGTGCCCGGCGTACTTGCCAAAACCCTGAGGTCAGGGGAGGGAGTTGTCACAGGGATCCTGAAAAGCACTCCTTTGGGTCCTTTGGGCTCGTCCTGCGTTGCTTCCCTTGAGATTCCTACAACCATCACCCCGTGAACGTGGCGGCTGGCCCGGTGGAGGACAGAACCGCGCAGCTCTGCCGCCAGCGCTTTCACCGTCAGCCACCTGCCAAACACGTGACAGGACTGGTAGCCAGCCGGCTGCTGTGAACCCAGGCAATGCCCGGGGGCAGGGGCGGCCCACTTCTGTTGTGTCCAGCCTAGATGGCGTAATTCAGGACGACTCCCACGTTTATGCTTGACTCAGTGGGTGTCGGTCACGCCACTGAGGTGGGGGTATTTCCTGAGATTCGCGAGTCTGGCCCTAAGCCTGTTCTCTTCTGTTATGGGACGAGTGGTCCAGTCCTGCGGTGGCGGAGAGGAGAGCCCAGCCACACGCAGAGGGCACAGCCTTGGGGATTGTCCCCGGGGTGAGAAACTGTAGCAAGGACGTCCTTCTGCCCCAGCTAACTCACCAAAACTGATCCTAACAGTTACGCTCAAAACTCATTGACGCGGGATCCCTGGGTGGCGCAGCGGTTTGGCGCCTGCCTTTGGCCCTGGGCGCGATCCTGGAGACCCGGGATCGAATCCCACGTCAGGCTCCCGGTGCATGGAGCCTGCTTCTCCCTCTGCCTGTGTCTCTGCCTCTCTCTCTCTCACTGTGTGCCTATCATAAAAAAAAAAAAAAAAAAAAAAACAACAACAACAACAACAACTCATTGACGCTCCTCAAACTGGCAAAAATGGAAACGCTCTGTTCAGTGTAGGCACGGGGTGTGGGGGGCACAGAAACGCACACTGCTCCGGACATTGGCAAAGCCTTAATGAAAGGCGACTTGAAATGTGCGCCAAGGCCCTGAGGGTTTTTCGAGTAATTTTGTTTTTAGGAACTCTCCTCAAAATGCAACAGGGCAGGGCAGCCCGGGTGGCGCAGCGGTTTAGCAGCGCCTTCAGTCCAGGGCATGACCCCAGGATCCCGGGATCGAGTCCCGCATCAGGCTCCCTGCATAGATAGAACCTGCTTCCCTCTGCCTGGAGGAAAGAGGAAAGAGAAGCTCTGCCTCTCTCTCTCTCTCTCTCTCTCTCTCTCTCTCTCTCTGTGTGTGTGTCTATGAATAAATAAAATCTTTTTAAAAAATGCAACAGGACATTTTTTTTATTTGAGAGAGAAAAAGAGCAAGCAGGGGGAGTGTGAGAAGGAGAAGCAGACTCTGTGCTGAGCAGGGAGCCCGACATGGGGTTCGATCCCAGGACCTGAGATCCTGACCTGAGCCCAAGGCAGAGGCTTCACTGACAGCTCCCAGGCCCCGAGACGTGGCGCGTTCTCTGACCAGCAGACAAACACACCGAGCACACTGTAGCCCTTCACAGCAGGCCAGGCGCCGCTCTGGTGTCAGGACATCAGCACAGCCAGTTCCCACGACAACCGTCTTCAGAGGTCACTTCTGGAGGCAGGTGTCCGTCCTGGGCCCTCCTGAGCCCCGCGTGTCCCGGCCAGCTGCCATCTCCCCGCAGTGCTTGCTTCCTGCTGACCACCCCCCTCCCGCAGCCTTTCTCGCTGCTCCCCCAGGCCTGACCTGAGCCGCACCCTCCCAGAGGGCTGCCCGGGGCAGGCAGGGGCGGCCTGAGGTCTCTACCGCAGACAGATGTTCAGCAGACAAGCCCTGGAGTGAGGCCTGCTGCTTCCCACCTTCCCCACGCCCAGCTGCCACTCTCCTGCGGCTGCTGCTTCGCCACAGCACAAAGCTGCCCTGCAGGTGCACCACCGCTCCGAAGGGACAGGGCCTATTAAGGAGAGCACAGCGTAGCCATACCAGATCCATTCTCAGGGAACGTCAAGGTGTCAGATCCGTCCTGCTACCCGCCTCCTTCCACCCACCCGGGCACTCCCACCCCTCCTGCCAACTCCTTCCCTCTGGAGCTGCGCGCACGCAGGTGGGAGCCTGGCTTGCCAGGCCTTCGGGGGGAAACAGGTGTTTGGCAGGCTGGGACCGTGACCCCATGGACGCCCCCTCGCCTTTCATCCCAGAGGGAAGGGAGCAGGTGTCCCTGCGGGAGACGGCTGCCCCCAAGGACCTGGGGATCCCTGCGTCACCCCAGCATCACCTCCCACACCTAACCCTCGCTAAAAAGCATGACCCTCAGACTCTTAGCCAGGTCCAGTCTGGAAGAAAGGTGTTAGGGTCTACTGTGCCCTAAACCACGGCGTTTCCACAATATGCTCGAGGACAACCCACATGCCTGGACCTAAGCAGACCTCAAGCGGGGCCCGCCAGTAACTACTCACCTCCTGCCCCAGCAATGCCTGGATTCGGGCAGTGAGCGCTCCTCCCAGCTGGGGCAGTGAAGTAAGGCCCAGAAAACCAGAAGCGTGAGCAAGGGGGCTGCTTCCTCCTGCAGAGGTCCCGTTGGGGCGGGATAGGGTCCTGCAGCCCCCACTGCAGCAGGCAGAAAGCCCAGCAAACCAGACAGATCACTGCAGGGCCCAGTACAGTGGCCTTCCTGCTGCTCTTGCCCCCAGACCCCTGGGTGCCCCTGAGCCGCCCCTGACCCCGCTGTCCTGAGATCCGCACAACGTTGACTGAGCGACTGCTGGCCAGGTCATTGCAGTTGTGCCCCAAGGCCCATAGCTATTGACCCCCCGGGTGGCCGTGGGGATGGAGCGGGAGGGATACCAGGGTGAGGGGGGACTTAATTCTCAGACTTCTGGGACTTCGTCTGCGCTCAGCACTCTCTTGGCCCTGGGCTGCCGCCACAGGGAAGTCTCTAATCCTGACCGATTTTTGGAGCGAGGGACCCCAGTGGCCCAGGGGTCAGGACCGAGATGTGGACACAGGGCAGAAGCAGTGATGGGGGCTGGTGGGGAGGCTGCGGAGGGTGTGGGCACGGACTTCCAGGAACGCCCCTGTAATGATCGCCACCGGCTGCAGCCGGCCTTGGGCTGCTCGTGCTGGGGGTGCTGGGGCCTGCTCTGTGTGCCCCCAACGCCTGGGCCAGGGTGCACCTGGGGCAGTGCCCTCCACCCAGCGCTCTGGGTTACCCTCAGGCCCCGCACACAGCCCAAGGTGCCCGCGGCCTCCCCGTCTGGGGTCACAACCTGCTATCCCCGTGGACCCCCAGGGCCTTGGCCAGGGCAGCCTCACCTGTGACCATGACACAGAGGGTGGGCTTGAGGAGGACATAGTGTCACCCTGGAGTTCCTGGCCCTCAAAGTGTCCTGCTGGCCACCTTTCCCCTCTTGAATGGGAGCCAGGGAGGGGACAGGGCACAGAGGCAGCCCCTCCCACCTCTCGTCCCCATAGGCCGTGCCAGGGCTGACCTCTGTCCTCGCCGGAAGCCGGGAGCCTGGGAGATAGACACGCAGCAGGCTGGGCTTGGCCAGTGCCTCGTATTTTGGTTATTGGCAGAAACTGAAACCGAAAGAGGAATCGCGGCAGCCCTGCCCAGGCCCCCGCCCTCCCCGCCCAGGGCCATGGCAGCCCCGTAAGTGCCTCTGGGCACACGCGTGCACGGCAGCCTGCCCTCGGATGCCCCACCGGCTCCTCCGCCTCGGACCCAGGGCCCCGGGGCCGGCCGCGTGGGAGCAGGGGAAGGAGCAGACTGTGCCCGAAGAGACAGGCCCCAGGCGGGACAGCCTTCCAGCATCAGCAGCCTCGGCCCAGCCTTGGCCTCACGGCCTCCACACAGGTATGCACACGACACATGTGTATAGGCACACACGTGTGCAAGCGCAAATAGCGCACATGGCAAACGCGTGAGCACACGCGGGCTCCCCGCTCAGGCTCTTGGAGCCTCCTGCTCCCGGCAGCAGTGGCCTCCAGGGGTGGGCCTGCAGCTTCGGCCACCTCGAGCACCCACCGCCCCCAAGGGACAGCCGGCCAAGCCTCGCCCCGTTCGGCCTCCAGGGTGTCAGGGCTGGGAGCGCGGGAGGGGGAGCCCGCGGGGCTCCCTCTGGCTGTCCTGCCTTGGCCGTGACTGTCACTGCCCAGCATGAGCGGGACGACGGCCTGGATGTTGAAAACCTGACTCCAGGGGATCCCTGGGTGGCGCAGCGGTTTAGCGCCTGCCTTTGGCCCAGGGCACGATCCTGGAGACCAGGGATCGAATCCCACGTCGGGCTCCCGGTGCATGGAGCCTGCTTCTCCCTCTGCCTATGTCTCTGCCTCTCTCTGTGTGTGTGTGTGTGTGTGTGTGTGTGTGTGTGTGTGACTATCATAAATAAATAAAAAATAAATTAAAAAAAAAAAAAAGAAAACCTGACTCCAGGGCGGCCCGTGTGGCTCAGCGGTTTAGCACCGCAGTCAGCTGGGGGCGTGATTCTGGGGTCCCAGATCGAGTCCCACGTCGGGCTCCCCACAAGGAGGCTGCTTCTCCCTCTGCCTGGGTCTGTCTCTCTCTCTCTCACACACACACATAAATAAATAAATAAAATCTTAAAGAAAAAAAAAAACTCCTGACTGCAGGTTTTCTCAGCAACAGCTGTATGGATGAGCGGTCCACAGGGCATACGACTCGCTTCAGTGCTCAGTGCGTCTGGAGTCGTGACAGCAGCGCCACGGCCGACCTCAGAGCGTTTCGTCTCCTCAAAAGAAACGGGGTACCTATGGGCTGTCCCCCCAGCCCCGGCGCCTCAAGGCTCATGTAGCACCCATGACCCGCCGGCTCCTGAGGCTCCCGCCTTTCTGTCCCGGGGCCGCCCCGTGCCCGCGCCCAGACGCTTCCCGGGCTCACGACCTGTGGCCGCTTCTCCGTTTCGGTTTTGCCAACGATGCTGAGCAAGCGCCCGTGCGGCATGCGGCCCGGGGGGCCCCCCCGCGCCCCCCCCCCACACCCGGGCCGTGCTCGCTGACCCTCTGAACATTTTCTCTGCAGAAACGTCGACGGACCTGAGCATAGGAAGGAAATCTCAGAAGCGCTGCCGCTGGAGGCGAGGCCGCGGGGCTGGGCGGCTGGGCGGGCGGAGGCCCCCCCCCCATTGCGGGCTGGGGTGTTTCCGGGAGTGGCTGCTGGCGTCACGAAGCCAAAGTTTCACTTTTGGGTCCCGGCGCCAGCTAAGCTTGCTTGCTCGGAGGCTCCCCAGCAGAGCAGCGCCGCCCTGGTCTTGGGGCGGACTTGCTTCCTGTCGTGGGCCTGGAGCGGGGGGTGACAGTCACGGTGAGCTGCTCCCCATGCCCAGTGCGTTCCCTCTACCTGGTGGGGGGGGGTGTGGCTCACGCTAAGCAGGGGCGATGCCTGCTCTTTGGGGCACCACCTGCTTGCGGCCCCTCCCCGGCTCCCTGTAGACCCAGACCCGTTGGGGAAGTCTGAGTCCTCTCAGAAGCCCATCTGGGTTTGGGCTTGACTCTGGGGGGGGGGTCTCCCAGGCACCCCCGGCCTCCTCCACACACGGACCAGCACTGACCCACCACAGTGGCTGGGGCCGGCCGGTTCCCCTGCCTGGGGTCCAGGCCTCCCGTGTCCTGGGGTCAGGCCTGCTTTGGCCTCTGGTCCCTGAGGCCTCAGCCTTGGACAGGCGGCTCACGGAACTCCGGGCACAGAGAAAGCCCCGAGGACATCCTGAGAAGTGGGGGATGCTGTGGCTGCGCCAGGCTGCGGGCCCCTGTGCCCAGTGTCCAGAAGCTCGGTGCTTCCTATTTCTTCCCCTGCCCTCGGGATGCTTCAGCCAGGGACCCGGCTGCTGTAGAGCACTGTCCTGGTGTCACTCTCCTGCTTTGCCCTTCCCTTCCTCAGTGGCTGCTTTTTGTGAGTGGCTCTAAGCCACGTTGGGTGGACAAAGTGGCAAAGGTCTCAGTGCCCCCCCAAGCACTGAGAGCCCCAGTGCTCTCCTGCCCCCCCCCCCGGGCCCTCTGGCCACGGTACAGATGGTGTAAATGGCCTGAGCCCCGCCGAGGGCTGCGAATGCCATCCTGCCTAGAGGTGTCCACCAGCCCCGTGGAGAGACAGTCGAGTGGCTGGCAGGGTAGACACTGCCCGTCAGGGCATCCAGGACCAGAGGTGTCCCGCCCCCTCTTCCAGCCCCGAGGGCAGAACGGCTGAGCCCCCTGTCCTCCTCAGGAGCAATGGGATCTGCCTTTGAGGGAGTGATCAAGAGCGTGATCCGGGAGCTGGACCACAGAGGCAAGCTCATCCCCGTGGACAGTCTGCGGAGCTCCACCAGCTTCCAGCCCTACTGCTTGCTGGCCAGGAAGCTCTCAAGACTGTGGTTCTGGAAACCACGCTACAAGTGCATCAACCTGTCCATCAGGGACATTCTGGAGCCTAATGACCCAGAACCAGGTACCCAGCCTGGTGGGAAGGGTGTCAGCTGGCCGGCCTGCTGCCCGTGCTGGGCCTCGGGCTTCCTGCCTTCCAGGCCGTCTGCCTAGGTGGGATGGGTGGCAGTTGGGAGGACAGGGGCCTCAGCTCTGGTCTGGCTCTAGCTGTGAAATGTGACGGCCCCTTCCACGTGTGCGACTTCATGGACGGGCAGCTGCAGGGCTCTGTGGAGCTGGCACCCCCAGGACAGGTGCAGCTGGCAGGGGAGGCGACAGTGGCTGACAACCTCAGCACCTCGATGAACGTGTGTACGCTGCGAGTGGTCCCCAACACCTGGGACACCATGCGCCAAGAGAGGTGAGCCCCGGGGGGGACCTGCCAACCCCAGGCAGCCACCAGGTCACAGCCTGGGGCGTCAGGAGTCCCAGGGCGTCTGTGCCGGACCCCCCATCTCTGCTCTGGCTGCATCTGGAGGTTCTGTGGATGTCCACTTGGCACCCCTGGGTCTTGTGCCCCCTCTCCCCACAGGCTACCCCTCCCACAAACACCGTCGGGAGCCCCCAGGGAGGGAAGGATGGGAACCCTGTCTCTGGGCACCCAGAGAGCTCCCGGCCACCCCAGGGCTGGCACAAAGGCTGAGGTCCCAGGAGGGAAGCTGGTCCCATGACCCGGGGGTGGGGAGGGCCGGACACACCCCTGCAGCTTCCAGGCCAACCACTTGCTATAGGCGCCTACGGCAGCCCCAGCACAAAGTCCTAGAACAGCTGCGGAACTGTGGCAACGACATATTCGTGGTGACAGAGGTGCTGCAGACACAGAAGGAGGTGACAGTCACCTGGATCTATAAGCAGGAGGGCTCCAGCCAGTTTTCCCTGCCTGGAGCCCTGTCCCTCCAGGTGTGTGGTATGGGTTGGGGAGGCAGGAGGGGATGCCCCCAGGCAGACCCCCAGCCCCAGCCCCCAACCTACCCAGCCCCACAACCCAGAGCCCCGTCCTGAGCCCACATCCACCCCTCAGGGCCAGGGCCATCTGAGGCGGAAGAAGACAGTCACCATCCCCTCAGGCAGCATCCTTGCGTTCGAGGTGGCCCAGCTGGTTATCGGCCCTGACTGGGGTGAGCTGGGGTTGGGGTGACTTCTGGGGCCCAGGCTCCAGGACAGATAGGCAGGGAAGCAGGGGACGAACTGCCAGTTGGCTGGGGTGCTGCAAGCACCTGGCTGGACCACTTCCCAGGCCGAGGGGGCCGAGGGGGCCAGGGGGCCGAGGGGGCCCAGGAGCCCAGGAGCCCATGCTCTGGGAAGTGGGAGGTTGGGGCACACGGGGCCAACGGTGCAGGGTGGCCCCAGTGGGTGAGGGGAGGCTTGGGTCACCGGCCAACGTGCCCCCCCCTCTCTGGTCTGGCTCCCAGATGTCCTCCTCTTCCCGAACAAGAAGCAGAGGACCTTCAAGCAGTCCAAGAAAGGTGAGGCCTGTGGGCGCCCCCAGACGGGGCCTCTGCACAGCTCAGCTCAGCAGAGAGGCTCCTGAGGAGCAGGCGTGGGAGTAGACACATACACACGCACACACATGCATAGACACATGCGCACATGCATGCACACACATACACATGCAGACACGCACACATGCACAGACACATGCATACACGTGCACAGACACCCACACATGGACACATGCACACATGCATGGACACATCCACACGCATGTATGGACACTCACACATGTGCACACATACACGCATGCACATGTACAGACACATGCACACACTGGCACACATGCACACACGTGCACGGACAGGCATACACATGCATGGACACATGCACACACACGGACACATCCACACGCACATGTACAGACACACATGTGCAGGCATGCATGGACACACATATACAGACATGTGCACGCACATGCATGGACACACACGTGCACACACAGGCTGGGCGGAGCAGCTACAAGGCAGCGCTGACATCGGCCTGGCACAGCCTCACACCTGCCCGGGCTGCCAGTGTTGGGTGGTGGCGATGGGTTGTGAGGGCCCAGGGGCTTGCACGCCACCCTAACTCTGTCCCTTCCAGATCACAAGCCCATGAGCAGCGCAGGCTCCAAAATACAGTCGGGTCAGTACCTTCTTGACAACCCTGGAACCCTTGGGGACCCCCTTTCTGCCCCTGGGAGTCTGCCCTTCCCGACCAGGGCTCTCCTGGGGCCTGTGGGCAGCCAGGCAGTTCCAGCCGTCTCCCCGCAGACGGGTTTGGCGAGGACTCAGTGGCAGTCACAGAAGACTTCCAGGGCCTGCTGGCAGAGGTGGGGACCCAGGCCGAGGGCCTGCGGGGCTTGTCCAGGGGCCTGTGCGACCAGCTGCTGGCAGGCCTGGTGCGGGTGCTGCAGGAGGAGCCAGCCCTGCAAACCCTGGAGGAGGCGGTGAGCGGGCCTGCTGGAGTGGGTGCGGGGGGGGGGGTGCTGCGCCCGGCCCATCGGGCTCACGGCCCTCCCTGTGTCCGCAGCTGGAACAGGGCCTGTTCTGTGGGTGGGTGGCACCCCTGGAAGGTCCGGTGGGCGCCGTCCTCGAGTGCCTGGTGCATACCTCCAGAACGCTAGAAGAGCAACTTGCCAGACCCGTTCTCTACCTGGTGGACTTGCTGACTGGTGAGCTGCTGCTGGGGCAGGGCAGGTCGGGGCAGAGATGTGGGCTTCTCCATTTCTGGACCCTTCTTACCTCAAGTCTCCTCCCAGGGCTGAGTGAAACCCAGCTCAAGCTGCTCACAAAGGTCCTGGAGACAGGAGAGCTGTCCCGGCCCTTCAAGCTGGTAAGAGAGCACAGATTGCAGGGAGAAGGGGCTGCTGTGCTGAGGGGCCCCAGGTGCTTCTAGGATGGAGTGCTGCGGGCAGGTGCTGGATGCTGGGGCGGCGGGGGAAGAGCTGCTCACGGACAAGCCCCCACCCTGTCCTACCAGGTGCAGAGCATTTTGGAGCAGAGCACCCCCTGGCAGGAGCGCAGGGCTGTGTCCCTGCCACAGGGGCTCCTGGAGGGCAGCTGGGACGCAGAGGCACCTGCGTGGGTCTTGCTGGAGGAGTGCGGCCTCGAGCTGCAGGTGGACGACCCCCAGGTGTGCTGGGAGCCAGAGGCCCGGGACCACACATGTACACTCTACGCCTGTCTGGCACTGCTGTTATGCCTGAGCGAGGACCCCTGTTAGAGCTGACCGGCTCTGCCCGCCGGCATGCTGGGCAGCTCTCCAGACGGCGTGGGACTCATGCCCACCTGGCTGTCCGCACCGGGAAGGCTAGAGCCCCACCCAGCCATGCGGCCAGTTCATCCTGGGGTGGGGAGCTGGGGAAAGTCAGTAAATGTGATATACAAAGGAAAGATGGGTCACCGAGTTTTTGAGGGGCCCTAGATCCGGGAAGGGAGCAGGGACCATCTCTTGTTTGGCTTCCCGTGCCCACTCGAGGTGGGGAGAGACATGGGGGCCAAGCAGGGGGGCCTCCTCCGTGGTCTTCACACTGGATCCTGTGACACTGCGGGGCTCCCTGTCCTCCTGGGGCTCATGGGGCTCTGGACAGGCAGTGAAATCCCTCCTTGCCCCAGAGGCAGATTCCTGGGCATTCAGCCTCCCATGGTGGGAGCGCCCAGGGGGAAGGGACAGGTGGTGTCCTTCCCCATCTCCAGAAATGTGCTCAGCCAGGGAGACAGGTCCCTCTCCCGGTGGGAGGCGCAGTCATACGGGAGGGTGGAGGAAGCTGCGCTGTCCTACTGTCACAGCCCGCTGCTGACACAGCTTCGGGGACCCCCCACCCCGGACCAGGGCTCGTGAGTCCAACCATTGCCAGGACAAGAGCTCGGGAGGATGTGTGGCATCCAAACCCAACAGCGGAATGAGTATCATCAGAACAAAGGTGGACCGCCCCAGAAACGTCCCAGATCCCGGTTCCAGGAACCCTCTAGGTGCGCCTCCCACACACGGAGGGAGGCAGGCAGTGCCAGGCCTGTTGGGCTTCTCCAGGACCCACGCTTCTCTTTTGGGAGCCCTGGTCCGGGGCGCTGCCAAGGAAACCACGGTGCGTGAGCAGGACTGGACTAGGCCAGGTCTCGGGAAGCGTTCCAGAGGCAGGAGCACCTGGGGCCCCTCTGAGGGCAGGCCCGGTGGAGCCAGTCAGCCTAGACCCCTCCCCAAGCTGGAAACGCTCGCCTGGCACACGGCTGAGCAGCGCCACAGGGTGGGACAGCCACACTCCCAGGGCCCAGCCACCGCCTGGGCCTTCGGGCCACGTGGACGTCGCATGGACCCCACACCTGGAGGGTGGCTGGTCCAGTGGTCCTGGGTGGGGGCCAAGGAACGGGGATGGGCACGGGGCCGCCAGCAGGCCGATGCATCATGCAAGAGACAAGCCTGCGCCCCCGCTAAGGGGTGGGAAGGGCAGCACGGCCCGCCTGAGCTTCCATGGGGGCTGGGGCCTCCTCTGGAGAAGGCCTCCATCCCACCGGGCTCCCCTTGGTGAGAGAAGCGGGCTCCTGAGGCCTGGCTCCCAGGCTGCAGCTGTGGGGAGGCCAGGCTGGCTTCCGGCCTCAGGGGCCGCTACCAAGGGCAGCCTGAGGCTCCTGCTCGGCCTGGCTTAGGGCCCCGATCGAGTCAAAGCCCTGAGGATGCTCCCCCCACACGGGCTGCCTCCAGGGAAACTGAGGAGGGAGACCCAGCCCTGCACAGCACCTGTCTTGGGAGCCCGAGGGCACCCAGGCCAGCACGGACTCCCAGGATGCTCCCACCAACCCTTTGCTTCCCCTCCCGCCCTCCCTCCCCTGGAGTCTGAGGGCCTCCTGGCCTGTCCTGCGTCCTCCCTACGTTTCTTTTTTTTTTTTTTTTCCTCCCTACGTTTCTTACGGCTTAATCTTGTTTGGCATCTGCTCTGGAGGCTGTGAATTAACACCCAAGCCCTGCCTGGCTCCCTGCAGACCCGTGCCCTCAGCCTGACCCTGCCTGGCCCCAGAGACACCTCACCTCCCTCCTGCTTGAGCTCCTGAGCTTTCTCTTCCTTATCTCAGGCTGAGCCCCGCCTGACCCTGGCCACAGACCTGGACTCTGAACCAGCCTGACTCTCACCCTGCCACCAGGCGGATCCTTATTCCTGGCTACACTGCCTCACATGTGATCCTCAGCCACACGGTGGACCAGGCTGAGGTCATCAGAATCCATCCTGGGCACAGACCCCATCCCAGACACACACCACAGCCCTTTCATCCACCTGTGTTTATTTAAAACACTTCCCACAGGACCCCAAGGGGTCTCCAGACTGGGAGGACTTCTCCCAGCCCCCCAAGAGGCTGTGAGCCAAGGCCTCTCTGAGGCGGGAGAGAGAATAGTTCAAAGTAGGCGTTCTGGAGGAGCCGGCTTCGAGAGGGCCTTCCTCCCTGCATGCCCAGTCGTGCTGTCCTCGTCCAAGCCCACACAGGGCGCTGGAGAGCCGGTGTGAGGGCCCGGCCTGGTGGGGTGCTGACGGTGGTACCTCACACCTGAAGCCACAGGTGTCGTCCCAAGCCTCCAGTGGGGACGTCAGGGGAAACCAGGAGAAGGCTCGGGTGGTGTGACACGATGAGCAGGAATGGGGTGGGGGCATGGAGACGGGATGGGGGACGGGGATTGAGGGGCTGCTGGGGAGGAGAGCCCAGACGGGTCGGGGAGGCCGAGCCGGGCTGTGCGCAGGCCCAGAAAGCAGACACCCTATGGTGGCGCCGGCTCCCACGGTCAGGCCAGTTTCACGATGTCCCCACCAGACCCCAGCTCACGAGGCTGGGTGCCGTCCAGGGTGCAGGAGGCACAGGAGGCTGAGGACAAGCTGGTGCTGGGACAGGAGGCACCGCTGTCCTAGGCCCCGAGGCTGCCAGGCGGAGTGCTCTTGGACGGGGAGGGTGTGTGTGCACCCAGGACCAGGCCCAGGCTGCCCACCTGCACCTGTGAGCCTCCTCTGCAGACCCGCCCTGGCCGGGACTGGCCAGAGCCTGACTTGGCCCCAGGCACCCTCTGGGCTGGCTCTGTTTGGGCTCAGCCAGGTCCCACGCAGCCCCAGCGGCCTATGAAGCTGCGGGGCTGGAAAGGGCTGTCGCTGAAGGCCGGTGGGGGCCGGCGGGGGCAGAGCTGGGGCCAGAGGCCTGCCCGGAGGAGGAGTCGCAGGCTGCGGGGCCCGGCCTGTGCGTGGGTCAGCAGCGCCACCTGTTGGGCGGACACGTGGGCGGCGGCCACCACGGCTGGCTCCGGGTCACTCTGCAGCTGCCCCAGGTCTGCAGGCACAGGGCGGCTCCGGCAGGGGGGTGGGGGCGGCTCTCAGGGCCACCGCGGATTCCAGGCCCTGGCCCTCCAGCCATCCATTCCCACCCACCCCGGCCTTGCGCCTACGGCCTCTCCAGGACCCCACACCCCGGCAAGCAAGCTGGGCCCTACCCTGCGACAGGGAGTCCAGCAGGTCCTGGCTGACGCAGCCTGGGCACGTGTGGTGGACGAGGAAGCCTGGACCGAGGCACACCTGTGAGCGCTGGCCCCAGACCCCAACAGGGTGGGGCCCGTCCAGCTCCCAGAGCCCTGAGTGACAGCGGGACCGCCTCACCTAGGAGCACGGCCGCTGCCCAGCGCAAGGGGTCCTGTGGGCTCCGCAGGTAGCCCTGGGTCTGGCTCAGGAAGCTGGGTACGTGACTCGGGTACTGCTGCACCTGGGAGCGATGGGCTCATGGCAGCCCGTGAATCCCACACGGGGAGGAGGTGGCTGAGGCAAGCCCCCAGGCTGGGGTCCCCTGGGGAGCCCCCAGGGCAAGGCAGCAGGCCCTGAGGTCTTAGGCCTGCCGCCACCTTGGCTGGGGGAGTGAGGAGACTCAGTCTGGGGGGCCTGGTGTCCACTGCAGCTCGTGGGCAGCCGACCATACCCTGTACCAGGCACTGTCCTCCCCTACTGACCAGGCAGTGGCAGATGCGGCTTAGGGCCTCAGGGCTGTCGTAGTGGGCCACCGTGACCATGTCCTCCAGCAGGCCCCAACGCAAGGCCTGGTCACAGCGGGCCAGGGTCCACTCTGAACTCTACAACAGGGGACGGGGTCAGGGTTAGGTCCAGAAAGTGACAAGAGGGATAGGGGGGCGGGTGGGGCCAGGACGAGGGCCGGAGCAGCCCAGGGTAAGCCGCCCAGGAAAGGCCAGGCACTCGGGAGCCCCCGACGTGGGCGTCCCTGGAGGAGTCCCTGACCTCAGACTTCACAGATGGGCCGGGGGGATGGGGAGGGCCGGATGGGGACAGCAGTGGGAAGGTCTGGGCGGCTGACCTCAGCAGCATCCCGGCTGGGATCTTGCAGGCGCAACAGCAGAGGGACGAGGCTCCGGAGCACCAGCTTCCGCAGGGGGCCGCGGAGCCCCACCCGGAGCCCGCCCCGGCCCCGCTGCACCAGCGTCCCCAGAAGCCCGACAGCCGAGGCGCGCACAGAGTCCCGGGCCTGCGTGGGGGGACGCGCTCGGGGCAGACCCAGGACCCAGAGAGCCCGGGGAGGGCGGCGTCCCGGTGGGGATGGGGATGGGGAGGGACGGGGCGGGAGGGGGGAGAGGGCACCGCGGCAAAGTGGGGGCTGGGGGGCAGGGCCCTGCGGGGGAGGGGAGGGGCCCTGCGGGGGAGGGGCGGGGCGGGCGGGAGGGGGGAGAGGGCAAGGTGGGGGCTGGGGGCGGGGCGGGGCCAGCGGGGCGGGGCTTACGTCGTCCAGCAGCGGCGGGAGGCGGAGCCCCAGCTCGGCGCTCAGCAGCCGCACGGGAGCCCGAGGCCGCAGCAGGAGCCTCCGCAGGGCGCGCAGCGCGGCGTCCACGAGCCTCGCGTCGCCCTCGCCCAGCGCGTCCAGCAGTGCGGGCAGCACCCTGCTCACGTGCCGCACCTGCGGGGGCAGGGGCTCGCGTGGGCGGCCGTTCGCCCCCGCCCCCCACCTTGCCGCGGCGCCCTCTCGCCCCTCCCCCACCCCGTGCCCTCTCCCTCTCCACCCCCGCCCCGGTGCCCCCTCCCCCACCTTGACGGTGCGCCCCCTACCTTGTCGCGATGCCCTCCCCTCTCCCTCCCTACCGCCCTCCCCCTCCCCCGGCCCCCACCTTGTCGCGCGGTGCCCTCCCCTCTCCCTCCGTACCCCCCCTCCCTCCCTACCCCCTTCTCCCTCCCCCGGCCCCCACCTTGTCGAGGTGCCCTCCCCTCCCCCTCCCTACCCCCTACCCTCTACCCCCTCCCCTCCCCTGGCCCCCACCTTGCCGCGGTTCAGCGCCAGGTGGCCCAGGCCCAGCAGGCCCAGCCAGCGCACAGTGGGCTCGCGGTCGCCCTGCCAGGCGCAGAGCCGCTCCAGGACGCTCTCCTCCCTCAAGAGGCCTGCTGTGGGCCGGCTCTGCAACAGCTGAGGGGGCGGCGGGTCAGCACTCGGGCGTCCACGCCGCCCCTCACCGCCGCGGGGAAGCAGGCTCACCCCCGTGAAGAAGGCCATGGCCGTGAGGCGCTGCGTGTCCTCGGGGCTGCGTAGCTGGGGCAGCACGTTCCCAAAAAGGCCCCGCAGGTGGTGGTCAGCGTGGGCCACCATGGCACTGGGGTGGGGCGGAAATGGGCATTCTCTGTCCTGCTGCTGCGGGGCTCCCCCTAACCAGCACACACCCGCCCCCCCCCCCCCCCCGCCCCCTGCCTGCAGCACCTGGCCAGCAGCAGGACGCCTTCTAGGTGGGTGTGGGCTCCCACCAGCCTCCTCCAGCCCCCGGCCTGCTCCATGCACGTGACCACCATGCGGCCTCCATCCCCAGTGAGCAGAGCCTTCAAGGTTTCCACAGCACAGCTGCGGGGCGGGCGGCAGGGGGTCAGGGTACGGAGGGCGCTGGCCCAGCCCCCGCTTCTCCCTGGCGCGTGCCCCTCACCTGGCGTGGCTGTGCGGGGGCCCTCGGTGCCATGGAGCCTGCACCTTAGGGGTGTCCGGGGAGCGCACATGCCACGCCAGCCGGTGTAGCTGTGTAACCAGCACAAGCAGGAGGTGTGGGTAGAAGCCCCGAGTGGCACCCACGCAGCCAGACACAGTCAGCATCTCCCCGAGGGCCCGAGTGGCCTGCAGAACAAGAAGCCAGGCTCAGGCCCTGGTGCCCCACATACCGAGAGCTCGAGGACAAAGCCGCGGACACCTGAGGACCAGACTGAGGAGCAGCTGCCGCCCCCGCTCCTGCCCCTGGGCCCTGGGGAGTCTCCTACCGCCAGCGCCTCGAGCTCAGGCCGGGCTTCGTTCCTCAACGCCCACAGCAGCTGGACCAGCACCTGCCTGTTTACGCGCTGGTTCCGGCTCAGGCTGCGCCACAGCTCGGCAGCTGCCCTGGGGGGACGGAGCACCTGAGACGGGGAGTCCCCCTCCCCCCGCAAACCCCCGGAGAACCAGAGTGAGTGGCATCTGTGTAGACTACCCCAAACCCCGTGTGGAGCCAGCAGCAGGGAAACGAAGCTGGATTGCACGTGGTCACTGCAGAGGATGAAACCAAAGAAAACGTCTCCGGGGCAGGTTAACCGAGGAGCCAGGGGCCTTGGGGCCAAGAAGCCAGCTGGCTTGCTCGTCCCACCCTAGAGCCCTGGGCTGGGCTTCCAGCATGACCTGGGGGATGATGGCAGGGCCCCCAGCCAGGGCCCCCCAGGTGCGAGGGCAGGGCGATAGGTGGTGGAGGGAATTCAGAGGCTCTGCCCCCCTCTGTCCCCTCCCCCCTACGGGGGCTAAACTCCACTGCCAATCAGGAAGGATCAGGAAGGGGAAGGAAGCTGCATGGGGAAGGGGGCTCCAAGATGTGGCTCCAGCCTGGGTGCGGCAGGTTACCGGTCGGGGGGCAGCGAGCTTGGCAGCAGCGCACACACCACTTCCCGCGCGTGCTCCAGGGCCAGTGCGCTCATCACCCGCAGGGCCGCCTGCCGGGGCCTCCCTTGGGCCAAGCTGGGCACCTGCGCCAGCAGCCCTCGCACCAGGACATACACCTGTACAGGTGAGTGGGCATCAGGGCTCCGCCACTCTCTGCGCCCCCACAGGGCAGGTGCAGCCCGCAGCCTGTGTGCTGGTCGGGCCACTTGCTTGTCCCCCCACCTTGGAACTCCGCAGCAGGAGTGTCAGGGGCCCCGGGGGGGCGTGGCTTACGTTGTCCTCCAGATGCTCCCCCCGGGCCTCCAGAGCGGAAGACAGCATGAGCGCTGTTGCCTGGGTCCCCACAACGCCAGCCTCTTCCAGGCAGGCAGCCGTGTACAAGGCCAGGTCAGCGAGCGCCCCCTCTTCCCAGGAACTCTGGGGTTCCTAGGACAGGGTGGGCGGGAAGTACAAAGTCTTGCCTCGCCTGATTCTGTTCCCTAGTGCCCCCCAACCTCCTTCCTGGGGTCCCCTCGGCCTCCCTTCCCTCCACACTCACCTGGTGGGGTCCCTCAGGGGCGGGACCTTGCCCGCTGGGCGAGGGGCACAGCTCCCTACTGGCTGGGGGGATGGCACTTGCACTCCGAGGCTCCACCTCAGGTTCAAGCGCACGTTCAGGCTGAGGACCAGCAGAAGAGCGACCTGGGGTCTGTCCCTGGTTGGCTTGGATGCCTTCAGCCAGAGCCGACAGGGTTAGAGCCCCCACAGGGCCCCCTCGGGCCCTGCCCCACAGTCCCCAGGCCATGGCCACCGCACACCCCAAGCTGCGCAGCTGAGCCCGGCCTGCAGCACCTGTGCTGGTTCTCCCGGGAAGTCGTGCCCAGGCCTGACCTAGAAGCTGGTCCTGGGCAGGTAGGACCGGTGACAGGCGTGGTGGCGCATGCGTGCGAGCGTTGTGTGGGGGGGTTGGGGCGTTTCACAGACACCCCCAGGTGTAGGCATCAGTGGCTTGTGAAGGGCCCTCCCGCCCTCGCAGTGAGTAGCCAGCCTGGAGCTCGAGTGTGTGGGCTCTGGCTGTGCCCGCCAGGGCCCTGCGGAAGGGATGGGATGCCTGGGATGGTGGACCTGCACCCCGACATCCATCCCCCTGGGTGGGGAGACCCCAGGCAGGTGTGGACAGCCCTCAGCAGGCCCCAGCAGGGTCCGGAAGTCCGGGCCAGCCCTGAGCTAAGGCTTTGCCTGGTTCAGCCCTAGAGGAGCCAGCGGGGCCTGGAGCTGGGCTGTCCCCGCCGCATTCTGACCTAGCCAGGTGTCCTGGGGATGAGGGGGGTTGAGAGAGCTGTCCCTGCCTCTGAGCTCAGGCAGGGCAGGGGTGGAGCAGGGGGGAGAGGAGTGTGCCTGTGGCCACTCGGGCACCCTTGCTGGGACCACTGTTGTTGGGGTGGGCCTTCTGCATCCTGGTCAGTTGTAAGGTCAGGGCCCCTGGACCCCGTGCAGAGGACATGGTGACCTGTGGGTCCCTAGGGCCTGGTGAATTCTGTACCCCTCCGAGCCTCATGCCCCCCAGGGCTGGCCTGATCAGGCCTCTGTCCCAGATCCTGGAACGCTCCCCCGGTGACACGGGACACTGCCCAACCTAACCCAGCCTTGGGACCCAGAAGAGCCAGTCTGGTCAGATACCTGAAGAAGCGGAAGTGTTGTAGGAAGGGCCCCAGGAAGCCAGCACCTCTCCACACCCTTGCCCTGCCTGCCTCTGCCGCCCTTGTGCCGCCTGCATCCAAGAGCCCCTGCCCCCCCCACAGCCCACAGCACAGAGAACATCTCCCCCAAGTGGTTCTCTGGAAGCTGAGTCGCTCCCTGCTCAGAGGCAGGCCCAGCACGGCTCATCTCCTCCCTAGCTCCCCTCCCTTTGGGAGGCTGCTGGGTCAGGAGCTGGCTTCCTCTAAGGTCCAGGCCTGGTGACCCCATGACAGAAGCCAAGCCAGTAGGGTGGAGCCCATGAGCGCAGTGTCCCCGTGGCAGTCCCGGGGTTGGCAGCAGCAGTGGCCAGGGACACCTGGGCTGCTCTGGCTCGGGAGGCTTGAAGTGCCCATGGTCGGTGTGTAGTCTGCGGCCATGCCCGGATGCAGGAAGTCCCCCAGGCCCTCTTTCTGGCACCTCATTCCCACCCCATGGCTCCCCGCCCCCAGGCTCCCGCAACAACTCCCCCAAACCCTAGATAGGCACTAGAAGCCCCCGTCTCCCCACAGCCCTGTGTCCTCCAGCCTCAGATCTGTCCCCCGAGTCCAGCTCCATGAGCCTCAGGCACTCCCAGCCTTGGCCTCCCCTGGGAGCTGGGCCGACACTCCAATCCCAGATTCCAGCCCACCCCTGGAGGCCCCAGGGGGTCTAGGGAGCAGTGGGCTGGGTGAAAAAAATGACACAGGACAAGTTGTGCAGGACAGTGAGTGACGTGTTGACTTCAGGCAAACCCCAGCTTGGTTCATTTTTTTTTTTAAGATTTTCTTTTTTCTTTTTTTTCTTTTTTCTTTTTTTTTTTAATTTTTTTAATTTATCTATGATAGAGGAGAGGGGGGGGGCAGAGACACAGGCAGAGGGAGAAGCAGGCTCCATGCACCGGGAGCCCGACGTGGGATTCGATCCCGGGTCTCCAGGATCGTGCCCTGGGCCAAAGGCAGGCGCTAAACCGCGGCACCACCCAGGGATTCCTTTTTTTTTTTTTTAATTTTTATTTATTTATGATAGTCACACACACAGAGAGAGAGAGGCAGAGACATAGGCAGAGGGAGAAGCAGGCTCCATGCACCGGGAGCCCGACGTGGGATTCGATCCTGGGTTCTCCAGGATCGCGCCCTGGGCCAAAGGCAGGTGCCAAACCGCTGCGCCACCCAGGGATCCCCAAGATTTTCTTTTTTAAAAGATTTTATTTATTCATGAAAGAGAGAAAGAGGCAGAGACACCGGTAGAGGGAGAAGCAGGCTCCAGGCAGGGAGCCCGATGTGGGACTCGATCCCGGGACCCCAGGATCAAGCCCTGGGCCGAAGGCAGTGCTAAACTACCGAGCCCCCGGGGCTGCCCCCCCAGCAGGGTTCTCACGAGGATCCTCCCGCACTCAGTCTGTCCACCAGGGCCCGGAGCTTATCAGACAACGCAACCTGTGGGAAGAAGAGAGGCTGATGGGAGCCGTCGGGACAGAGGATCCCAGGGCCAGCTGAGGATGTGGCCATGCACCAACCTGGTAGAGCGCGGGCCGCTCCAGCCGCTTGTGCTCAGGGCTCAGACGGCTCAGGGACAGCTGGGCAAAGGATCTAGATTCAGCCAGAGATGGGAGCGGCTCGCACAGCTGGGGGAAGACGGGAAGAAGGGGCTGGGTCAGGGGCCAGAGCCAGGGCTCAACTCTGGCTGAAGGTGCAGACTACGGGAGGAGCTGGAGGCGCCCACCTGTCCCTGCTGGACCCAGAGCCTCAGCAGGGGCTCCACGCCGGTAGGCCTCACGGTACAGGCTTCCCGGGCCCCGTGAGGCCAGACCCGCAGCTCCTGGCCAGCCTGGGGTGGTGGCTCCTCTGCCAGCTGCAGCACATCTAACAGCAGGGACCCTGTATGAAGGGTCAAGAATGAAGGGGGGTGCCCAGGGACTTGAGAAGGGCCTTGGAGGGCTGGGAGGGGCTCACCTTCAGGGCCCAGGAGCCGGAAGGCAGCCTTGCTCCCAGGCAGCGTCTGTTTCTCGGGGTCCTCAGTCAGCTTCATTCGTGGTTGGCCTCCCACAGACACCAGCTGCAGAAACGTGTGCTGGGATCGCTGGACTCCTCCCCAACCCGAGATCCCTCTGGCCTACTCCACCGGGTCCCCCAATCCGCTACCTTATAGACGCAGCCCAGGGAAGGCTGGTGGGGACACGTGACCACATTGGTGCCAATGCCTATGACGTTCACCTCACTGCCCTGGAGGAGAAGAGGATGGCACTGGCCTTCTTTTTACTTTTTTATTTTTTTATTTTTTTGTTTATGTTTTTCATTTATTTTTATTTTTATTTTTTTAATTTTTATTTTATTTTTATTTTCATTTTTTTTGTGGCACTGGCCTTCTTAACATCTGCAGGCCCAGAGCCCTCCTAGCCATGCTCTGGCTTGCCCCCACCCCGCCCCGCCCCACCCCACCTCACCTCACCTCACCTCCTGGGCCAGCCGGGCCAGCTCCTTCTCATCAATGTTGTTGCTGACGGCGATGGAGATGGATTCCAGCCAGGGCATCTGGAACCTGTAATGGGGGCAGCCCCTCCAATGTTCCCCGATGTTCCATGGTCACATGCACCCCACAGTGATTCCCCCCCGCCACCCCCCCCCCCCAGGCCACCAACACCAGCCGAAGGTCTGTCTTCAGCCGCGCAGGCTTTGGCCTTTTGCTTCAGCCCCTGGGTGAACCCACCCAATTCGCCCACCAAGGGCCCAGTGTCTCTACTGAGGTAGCAACTGGATCAGAGCTCCTCACTTTGGGAGGGGCAAACTGCTTCCTCCCTCTGCCCCATCCCAACATTCCTGCCCCCCGACGGGATCTCTCCGCAGGCATAACTGTCCGGGGGACTCACCGGGCCGAGACAGTCCTGAAGACCCCGCGGATCTCCTGGGCCTGCTGAAGCAAGTCACCGCTGTCCAATCGTACGCCTACTGCGCGGTAGCCCAGCTCCCCCAGGGCCAGGGCTACTGCCAGGAAGTTAGGAAGACCGCTCCTGTGGGCGGGTACAAGAAGGGTGAGTGAGGGGCCGTGGCCACTCTGCAGAGCCCACCCAGGGGAGCACCTGGGCCTCACCTTTGCACGCTGTAGGTGTCCAGCAGGCCCTGGAAGGCCTGGGGAAAAGCCAGGGCATAGGCCACAAAGGCTGCCCGCTCCCCCCGGTGGGGCTCCTGCACCCCCAGCCCCAGATGGGCACACACGCGATCCAGCCATGCCTCCACACGAGCAGTCAGGTCCACCCTGGGTCCTGGACTGGCGGCTGGAGCCAGCATCTACGGAGAGGGCTCAGTGAAGGCTGGGCAGTCCCTCGTGCAGGGGGAGGTCTGAGTGGGGGCAGTGCCAGCACCAGGGCTACCTGCCGGGGTGGCTCAGGTGGGCCACGCATGGCATGAGTGACAGCTGGACCACCCTCCCCTGAACAAGGACTGGCTTTGGGGTCTGCTGTCGAGTGCAACAGGGATGAGAGGTACTGACCTGGTCGGGGGGCACCTCAGTGCCCGAAAAGGAGGTGACGAAGGAGTGGGCCAGGGTTCCCGCCAGGGGCACACCCCGCAGCTGTCCTGCAAGCACATTGCTGCTGCCATCGAAACCTGGGCCGGGGGTCAGGCTTGGGGTCAGGCGGGGCTGGAGGGCTTTGGGCAGGTCTCCTTCCCCCCCCCCCTCCGGCTCTCACCGCCCAGGTAGCTGTAGGTGGAGGCCGTGAGACCCCCATCGGGGCCCTGGGCTCGCCGCAGCCCCATCTCCAACAGCCGCTTCTCTGGGCCCGCGATCAGGCGAAGGCGTGCAGCGTTGGTGGCGATGAGGCTGTGGGGGCAAGGGAGCAGGGGCCGCGCGGGGGGTCAGGAGGTCACCGTGCGGGGCCCCTCTCCCGGGCCCAGGCCCCGCCCCCGCAGCCCCGCCCCCCGCTCCTCCGGGGACCCCACCTGGCGTAGCTGACCAGGCAGAGGAGGGGCGTCTCCAGCAGCTGCACCACCAGGAGCGGCCCCGACACCTGCAACAACGGCACCTGCGGGGGCGGAGGAGTGTCGGCTGGGCGACGCCCGGCGGGCCCGCGCCCTGTGCGCCCCACGCGCCCCGCTCACCCCATACTCACGCTGGGGAAGGCGAGGGAGCCCTCGGGCAGGGCCCGCACCGTCACATCCGAGCAGTCGAGGGCACGAAGGTGCTCGAAGAACGCGGGGTCCGTGTCGGGGGGCAGCACCGAGGCCAGAAACTGCACGTCTGGGGGGACAGAGGCCCTCACCGCTGGAGCCAGCGCAGGACGCGTCGGGGCAGGAGCCGGAGGCCTCGGGCTCAGGGGAGGCTCGGCCCGGCTCAGCGGGGGGCGGGGGCGGCTCATCTAGGGGGCGGGGGACCGGGGGCCGGGGCTGGGCTACCTGCGTCCCGAAGGCGGAAGGCGCGCAGGAAGCGCACGCAGTCGCGGAGC